ATCGAGCATATGGCGTCGAGAATACGCATCTAATAGACTTCCACCGCAAATTAAAGGCAATTAGCCACGAGAGTATGCTAATGCTGGAGCTCATTTTGCGGTCTTCCGACGGATGACGCAGATGGGTGTCGCCGCAGTGACTCACAAGCTGGAATCCCTCCCGAGCGCATCCCAGAAAGAGACTCAGATTCGGTTCGGGGGAATTTCAGCAGGCGAGACTTTTCGCGCTAACTGCAACCGGCCACGATGCAGGCACGCTGACTCAATGCCGAGCGACTGCAGGTTGTCGTATCTGATGGATACACAACCGTGCAATTAGCCAAGCCGCTCTTGCATAACTCGGGCGGCTGACACAGATCATTGGCAGTCAGCTGATGCCCGCCCGCTTGTATCTATTAATTATTAGCTGAAGCCTGGCATTTGTATCTATTTTCTGTATCTGCATCTGTATCTGTATCTGTGCCGGGCTTCCGTGCATCTTTCTACTTGCCAGACATTGAGGCGCCGGGTGCTGGTTCGATGAAGCTGCTTCGCTGTAACTAGACCCTGTTCTAATGCAAGTAGACTCCACCAGAAGTAGTCCCTCCCGAGATCAGACACGACTACGTGACTTCCATCCGCATTTTCCGACTTCCACTGCCGTTCCTAAGGTCGTTTCGGGACTTTGTTTTCAAACAGCCAGTCGGCCAGTGCAAATAGCAATCAAACGTTGAACTCTCGTCACGTAATCGAAATTATTGTTTAATTGAAGAAACCGCACAGCCAAGCCAGCGCCTGAGTTTGCAAATAAAACGGAAAACAAAAGCCAGCAGAGGCAGCAAAAAGTATCTCGGGCAGCAAGAGCATATCGGCCTCAAAGCGACGTCAGCGCCAAACGACAATAATTAAGGCAAAACAAAGGCCGAAATGGCATTCAAACAATTTTCTGTTTCGTTTAGGCTTGAAGTGTGGCACGGGTGGCGAGTAAATGCATGTGCGGAGACCCCCTGTGGCTGGGTGCAGTCGCGAGGGGTCGCCCAGTTCCAAGTGACATAAGCGGGTTGGGAGATTACGACTGGGCCATAAATTATCCCAAGCTGAATATCAATGGGTGTTGTAACAACGAGTAGTGTGCACTGCGGCAGGGAGATGCTTTTTGTCGAGCTGGAAGTGTTTTAGCTATTAAAGGAGCTCCAAAGGCAACCAATATCCCCCGCATCGCCTCCAACTACTGGGCACCAGTGCGAAACTACAAATATGCTAAATGCCTCTGCTTCGGTGGCTTTGGCTCTTGATATCAAGTTGGTGCACAAACAAGCCTATGAATATGCACTTGCCAGCTGAATAATGCACAGCGAGTGGGCGGTAATTGCTGTTAAGTGATGTAGGATTGCCAGCTGGCCAAGACACTGCTCTTCTCGGGCTTGTGGGCTTGCGGGCTTGTGCAACCAGTGCTCACGTGATCCCCATGATGGATGCGTCACTCCGCCCGACACCCGATGGCTGATAGCGCAAATGTCACTGGCTCTGGACTCCAACAAAGCGATTCATTAGAGCTGTCGGCCGGCGAACAATTGACATTCCAATCGAGGCGGCGGAGGGGCGAGGCATTTAGAAAGCTAGCCCGCAAGGCTGAGCAACCACTTCCTAGCCGCGATAAGAGCTGGCGGTCACTCAGGAATTAGCAGCGCACTGCCACTTCGCGTGGGTGGAGTGGGAGGTCGTGGGATTCCTCAGAGGGATGCTAATTGGCGTACTCCGATGCTTTCAAGTTGCCGCAGCATCCCAGCGCGCCTGCCCCTGCTGATTATTCATTTCAATAGAGAGTTAGCTCGGACCCTGATGCAATGATTACCCATTACCATTATTTATTGTCCAAAGGCTTGAGTTTAAGTACTGAGACCCGATTCGTTGTCATTAATGTTCGAAGCACTCGCAAATGCAGTTCTCCGTGAGAACAACTATTTTAGTTGCAGCCATCTGACAGCTTAATTTCATAATTAATCAACCGGAGCGGGAAACCTTATGACAACTATAAACCCCAAGCAGTTGAGGGTTATTACTGCGTTCCCCAGCGATAAGCGGAGTTGTCGTGGGACGCGCCTTTAATGACGACTATTACCGACTCCGAATAGTGAAACAAAATAGTCCGAGAGATAAGATCGAAAACAGTTTATGGCGAGCAGTGATTTGTTCCAAAAACAAACCACCCAGAAGGTAAACATGCAGTTCGCGAAGAATGTGCCAGCGAAACAGATTCCGATGCAAACACTTCAGAGCGACTTGTTCAGCAGTAATTGGCTGCGATCGAATTGAGAATTTCCTCTTGCGCCTGATAGTGTTACTCAATGCCCAGCCCAAGCACTTGGTTTTCGTTCCCATTTCCCATGGCTCAGCAGAAAAGCGAAGAAAAGCCGGGGCCCACACAGAGTCGTATCCGAACTGGTAGAACAGACTCGGTGCTGTTGCCAAGCGCACTCCATTTGCGCTTTTCAACCTCACCCGACTCCACTCGGCTCGTTTTCTGTGTCAGCTTGCAGGGGCCCTGTCTGGCTGGCCGTCTTTCTAAAAAGGTTCCACCATCTCTACGGCAATCTGTACCAAGCAGCCCCCAGCCCCAGCCCCCAGACCCCAGCCCAGTCGACGTCAGCGTCACGTGTTTGGTTTTTGCGACTGGCTGAGTTGTTTTCTCTGTTTACGATGTGTTGGTTTGCTTTTTTGCTTGCCATTGGCGTTCATTATGTTTTGCGTTCGTCTTTGGTTTCGGTTTCAGTTTCAGTTTCGATTTCTGTTTATGTCAACAGACGGCTGGGAGCGGAGGGGCGTGGCAGGCCGGTCAAGGTGGAGAGCATCCCATGCGGTGTACTCGTACTGACTAATTACAGATTGCTTCAAAAGTGGGCGAAAATTCTACTTCTTGAAGGTCAGAATCAGGTACTAATATTGAACGCAATTTGGAGTTGAGATTTTGTAAAGCCCTATAGGAAACTCGCTTAAAATGTAGAATACAAACGGGTGGCATCTGAAGTATAATGCATTATTAAGGACCCTAATAGGGATTATGGGAAAATCCCTTCACAGAAGGTGTGGCTTGTGGACGGGTTTCCCATTTAAATTAAAACTTTCTAATGTAATTGCAACAATTATAGAAACACCAATGCCAAAGAAAGGTCGGCAGAGCTAATAATGGAATATAGGCCAGGTGTCGGGCAGGCCGTTTAGTAATTCAATTGCAGATATCCAGACAAGAGGAGAAAAGTAGAAAACAGTCGCCTGTAATCTGTTTTAAGGAGCATATCAGCATTCATGACAAATATTATTTGTTCCAGTAGAAGCCTCTTTTAAAAGGGTAATGGCATGCCGACCTTGAACAAATATTTTCTAATTTCGCTTCTAAAGACATTGTAAGATCCTTCCTAGAAACAATGTGCTCGTGTTTAATCGACACGCACAAATAATTAAAAGATGATATCTCAATTCTTTCAATTCTAAGAATAAGGGACCGTAAATAATGATTATTGTTATGATTTTTATTTTAGAAATCACAAAATAATGATTATTCTATGATCGAAAAATAAAAATCATGTATAATCAATATTTTTGATTTTTATTTTTTTTTCGATGAAAAAAATATCACCCAATTCGTGATTTCGCACTGTGTGTTTGATATAATTGACTCTTGACTGCATTTCTCCTTAGACCACATATACAGGTACCATTTAGTACCATGATTTCTTCACTAACAACCTTCCGCACCACTAAAAGTTAAGAATCTAAAGCTTCTATAAATCTCTATGATTTCTAGAATGAATTTTTCTAAAGAAGATTTTTTAGTTCTTATTGAAATTAGTAGAGCATTACAGTAATTTAAGATTTTTATTTTTAATTAATTAGGAAAAAGTCATGGCCATCTACAAAAATTATAATGATTTTCTGAACCTAGCTTTCAAAGAGAGTTGTTTTTAACGTGGAAGTTGTCCAAATGTGTAGTCTTCAAAACAAATCCTTGCCGAATAAGCTATTTTAATTGAAAAGTCAAACTCTGAAGCTTTAGGATCAAATATCTTTTAATGTAAAAAATCTTCATGTTCGGTTTTTTCCAATATTTAATGGTACGGAAGGCTGTTTGTGAAAAAATCATGGTACTAGTCGAATATCAAGAATATTGAATACACAACGCGAATTTTTGAGCGAAAAAAAATCAAAAATTCTGATTATTTCCGATATACATACATATGTATTTTTTCGCTCAGAGAATAATGATTATTTTGTGATTTTTAAAATAAAACTCTATAAACCTGCTATATACATACATATATATTGGAATACAAATAAAAGGTATTATATAGCTTTTGCCTCTTAAAAGGTACTTCAATTTTATATTTTATTTCGAATTTTGAAATAAAAATCAAGACTGACTTTTCAGTTTATCCAATTTCGAGAAGTAGAGACTACAAACTTTTGAGCTTTTTCGGGTTTGAGCTCCCTTGGTGGCACTCTGAAAGGACATACACATTTTTTCAACAGCTCCGAAAATGTTCATCGGATTTAGATTAAAATTTTCAAAGAACGAAGAATAATAATTATATAATATACAACAAATTTCACATTTTTTGAAATCCCAACTGCGTGTAAGGCCCCAATCCATATTGACAAGAACGGGTTTATCATTTCAAAGAGTACAAGTCGATAGATAGGCTACAGATCATCCAGATCTGGATCTGGATGAGGCCAGTTAAACCGCATTGGCGGACCGACCACGGCCGAATCTGCGTGGAGCTCTGGAGTGGGCGAAATAATTTCTAATTCGCAAATGTATGCAATTATTGATTTTATAAGTAGTGCCGGCTTCTACGATTGTTTCGCAATGCCGCTCCCGCCCCATCACCCCAGTTCCCAGTGCGAGCTCCGCGCCCCATCCCACCGCCCACCTCCCACCATGAGCGGAAATAATGGCACGTATGCCCAGCCGACCGGAGGGAATCCGCACTCCGATATCTAGAGAATTCAGTTGCGCGGCGACTGCGAACGGATCTGGTTTCTGCTGACAGGAGAATAGGAAAAGTCTCTGAGAGAGATGAACGTACATCGCACGAAGCTACTGGGCGCCTCGGCGGGCGTCTTCCTGTTCGCCATCATCTACGGCTGGGTCATCTTCCCCAAGATACTCCGGTTCATGATATCGAAGGTGTGAGGTCCACCCTGTCAATCGAAGCACATTAATGAGAACTCTTAACCCCAGCAAGTGACCCTGAAGCCAGGCACGGACATCAGGGAGCTATGGTCCAACACCCCCTTTCCCCTGCACTTTTACATCTACGTGTTCAACGTCACTAACCCCGAGGAGGTCACCGCAGGGGGCAAGCCGCGGCTCCAGGAAGTGGGTCCCTTTGTCTTCGAGTGGGTCGCGAAGTGGCTTGAGTGTGTTCGGTATTCATGGGCTCTTCCCCTTTTCCAGTGAGTGGAAGGACAAGTACGACCTGGAAGACGACGTCCTGGAGGACACGGTCAGCTTCACGATGAGGAACACCTTCATTTTCAACCGAAAGGAAACCCTGCCACTAACTGGCGAGGAGGAGCTCATCATCCCGCACCCCATAATGCAGGTGAGGCGTTTTGCTTACAGATTTGACTTTAATCGGATTGGAGAGGATACTCGCCGCAATGAAGCCATTAGGTATGCAGCCAGCGATGGGAAGTATCAATTTTGGTTGCCTTTAAGGCGCCAGCTAATGGCCACGTGTCCATTGTTAGCCATGTGAATTATGCAAATCACCTTCCCAGCCCCGAAGCGCAATCGCGCATCAGCTTGGCGGCTTTTGATTCGCAAATTAGTCAAGCTATCAGTGGAAGATCCCCGAAACTCTCACACTTTTCGTATCAATTCGCAGCCCGGCGGCATCATGGTCCAGAGGGAAAAGGCTGCCATGATGGAGCTGGCGGCGAAGGGCCTCTCCATTGTCTTTCCCGACGCCAAGGCCTTCATAAAGGGCCGGTTTATGGACATCTTCTTCCGCGGCATGGACATCGACTGCTCCTCGGACGAGTTTTCCGCCAAGGCCTTGTGCTCCGTGTTCTACACGGGGGAGGTTAAGCAGGCCAAGCAGGTCAACCAGACCCACTTTCTCTTCTCGTTCCTGGGCCAGGTGAGGGCTAACTGCACATCCTGATTAAGCACCATCTTGAACCCCTATTCCGGTCGAAGGCCAACCACTCGGATGCCGGGCGCTTCACAGTCTGCCGTGGCGTGAAAAACAACAAGAAACTGGGAATGGTGGTCAAGTTCGCCGACGAGCCGGAGCTCTCCATCTGGCCGGATGGCGGGGAGTGCAACAACTTCGTGGGCACCGACTCCACGGTCTTTCCGCCGGGCCTCAAGAAGGAGGAGGGGTTGTGGGCGTTCACGCCGGACCTCTGCCGCTCCCTGGGGGCCTTCTACCAGCGCAAGTCTTCGTACCACGGCATGCCATCCATGAGGTACAGCCTCGACCTGGGCGATGCCCGTGCGGACGAGAGCTTGCACTGCTTCTGCGACGACCCCGAGGACCTGGACACCTGCCCGCCCAAGGGCACCATGAACCTGGCTCCGTGCGTCAACGGTCCTCTCATCGCCTCCATGCCGCACTTCTACAATGCCGACCCCAAGCTCGTGGCTGACGTGGAGGGACTCAACCCGAACGAGAAGGATCACGCCGTCTACATCGACTTCGAGCTGGTAAGGTGGACTTGTGCCATCTAGGGTTTTAGGATTTCATGCTTTTGTTGCAGATGTCGGGCACGCCCTTCCAGGCGGCCAAGCGCTTGCAGTTCAACCTGGACATGGAGCCGGTAGAGGGCATCGAGGCCATGAGGAACCTGCCGAAGCTCATACTGCCCCTGTTCTGGGTGGAGGAAGGGGTGCACCTGAACAAGACCTTCACCAACATGGTCAAATACACTTTATTCCTGTGAGTACTGCCAGCCCTCGAAGACGCGTTTCCTCCATCGGCCTCTCAATCTCCTTTCCAGGGGCCTGAAGATCAACTCCGGCCTGCGCTGGCTCCTGATCATGCTGTCCTTTGTGGGCCTGACGTCCGCCGGCTTTCTCTTCTACCAGAACTCCGACAGCCTGGACATCACGCTGCCCCCCAAGATCATCAAGGAGACCAACAACAAGGTGGCCGACGCTAGCAAGCCCAACGAACCGCCTAACTTTGCGGCGAACATCTCTATTCCGGGCACCAACCCGCCCAACGCCAAGAGTGAAAAGCGAGATCGCTACTAGAGAACTACTGGCATCCAGATCCCCCCACCGTAGTCTTAGTTCGATGCACCTGTAAAGAGTCCAGCTCAGCGCTAATAAAATGAGACGGAATTAGTCGATTCGTTTGGCAGAAACAGGTCCGGTGGCCAACCGAGCGGTGGCTAATCGATGATCGCAGGTCTCAGACCGCAGATCGATGGCAGCGCTCAGATCCAAGTGACAAGAGTGGACGCTCCACTGACCCCGATCAGCGGCGATCGAGCCGCCAGCCAAGTTAGAGATCAGCCATCGCATGACTCTGGGAATTGACAAATTGTTTTTTAACAATGCACTTGCAGTCGCACAGCGAAACAACTGCCAGGACGGGTTTTAAATAAAACGCAAATTCGCTACACTTCATAAATTATTTGCGAATAAAAAATGACCTCCCAAAACACATTAATTGGCGCCAATTGTTTTAAACGATCCTGTTTATTTTTAAACCTAAAACTTAACAATTTAGAGAGCCTTTTGTCAAACACCCATTCGAAGTTATACTCCACACCTCAGAGGTTTTCTCGGGTCCCCCACTACCCGGTCCTCCACAATGGTCGTGTCCCTCGGCAAGTCCACAAACTCCAAGAGCTCTGCCAGCTGGCCGCAGTTGACCTCCGCGTGGTCCACAAAGAAGTCAGCGTCCAGGTCCTTGATGAAAACCTCCTTGCCTTTGTCGTGGCTGATTTCCAGGTAATTGAGGTTCTTCAGTTCGGGCAGCATGTCCATGCTTTCCAAAGTCTTGTTGTCATACGTGAAGCTCAAGCGCTCCAGCTCCCTGGAAGCCGTAATTTGTGGCAAGTCCGAGAGGTTCTCGATCCCCGTCACATCTAGATCGACCAAGTTCTTAGACCTGGACAGAAAGTCGAGGCGAGTGAGGTTGGTGTTGGCCAAGTAGAGCTGCTCCAAGTGTTCTGGCTGCGATACTCTAAGCTCTTTCAGACTCGGGTTGTCCTCCAGCTGGACACTGATGGCTCTTCCCCTTAGAGCAACGGACTCCAGCCCACAATTCGTGGCATGTAGCTGGTCGATGTCAGCGGATAGTTGCAGTCTCCTGAGGCCAAAGTTTCCGGACAGAGACAGCTTTTGTATCGAAACGATCATGTTCGAGGCGAATCTTTCCAGGTGATTACTCTTGGCTGAGAATTCCGTCAAATGCTTCCGCTGATCCCGGAAGAGGTCGCTTGGCAGCTCCCTCAACCGGTTGCCATCCAGGTTCACAAACTTAAGGGACATCAATTGCGAAAATATGACGGGGGAAATGGTTTTGATGTTGTTGCTGGACAGGTTGATCTTCTGGAGCTTCTTGAGAGGCAGAAATAGCCTCGTCGGTAGGTCTTCCATTTGATTGTCCGACAGGTTGAGTTCCTCCAGTTCAGTTGCCAGCTCGAAAGCATTGTCTTCCAAACCTTTTATCAAATTCCCACCCAGGTTGAGCCTCCTCAGGTTTCGGGAGCCTTCAAAACACCGTCTTTCTATTCCCTGTACTTTGCATTCCAGAACGTCTAGCTCCACGAGTTGGGGCAGGTTGCGGAACACATTCCTGGGGAGGTTTGCCAAGTGGCTGCTGTGCAAAATGAGAGAATCGTGGACCTCTAGGCGCTTCGAAGCCTCCTTGGTGAACCGGGCCACTTCCAAGGTGTCGGGGAAGTCCAGGCCCAGGCAAATGTTCTGCCGACAGTCCAGACTCTTTACTGCCACTTCCTCCAGCTGACGAGACTCGCACGCTCCGAAAACAAAGACGACTATCAGAAGATAGTTTGGACAGTTTAGCGACAGCATCTCGGCAGAAGAAGACTGAGCATGGACTGGCCTGGCGGCGCTTTTTAACGCCAAACCAGAACACGACCTTCAACAGAAACCCTATATACAGCCAAACTGGTCTGAAGCGTTTGTTTTGTTTGCATCTGGTGTGGTTTGTTGTTGCCTCTTGAACTTGATCCACCAACCGATCGCACCCGTTTCGCTTTCGGGCCCATAAAACTTTATGATAACTCTCAATGAATATTCGCAGCGTTGCTTCCAATACTTGTTGTTTGCGTTTTTGGCTGGGCTGCGTCCGATAGCCTGATAGCCGGCCCATAAGCACGTTCTCTCCATTCTCAGCTGAAAAACAACTCTCGCCTCTGCCTGATGTTTGTATAGTTTATGGCATCTGGTGTATCAGCTGAAAACCACCCAGTTTCTTGATGGGGACTACGTAACGTCTGGCCGGTGCCCGATAATAGAGACCTTTCTTTTAAAGACAATAGGCTGTGTTCTCTGTTTTTTTTTTAGATATTCATTGACAATAAACATAACCATTCAAGCAAAGGAGGTTTCCCTCATTTCTAATTTAAACATGTCTGATTAACGTTCAGACATATAATAGCTATGTACTTTTAATTGCAAAAAAAGGATTGACTCATTAGTTTAAGTGAAACTATAGCGTTATATGCGTATATATTGCGCAACTTTGGGCCCACGCGTTTTATAACAATTTGCCTATAAAGTCTCCAGTTGGGTAAAAAGCGACATACGATACTTTAATCCGTACGTGAAGAGTCCCAAAGGGATTCAAAACGCTTTCCTTCAGATTAAAGTTAAACTCAACGCAGATATGGGTTCTCTCAAAATGTCAAACGTTTGTGTTCGATATCTCTTCAACACTACTCATTATCACTGCTCATTATTGATCTGTTCATTAAACTAATTTAAAAAATTAAACACGCATAAAAGCGTTTTAAATTATTTCTAATTAAAACGGAAAGGAAACAAAATGTCACCTATAGATATAATCTATATATAGATATTTTATATACAGATATTTTATTTTTGTTTTATTAGAGTCCCTGATTTTAACCAGTTTTGAAGTTTTGCATTTTTCAATACAATTTATTTCATATATATTTTATTTTATATCCCAAATATTGGATATAGTGGCTGTTCCTTTGATTTCACTATCAAATTAATTTCTCAAAATAAAAAATTTGGGAAAATCCCAGGCTTTAACATCCTTAGAGTTGGTTTAAGTGGTTTTAATTTTCTCTAAGAACTAGGAAAACATCGCAATCAAAAAGCGAATGCATACCTTTATCAATACATCCCAAAATTAAGAAGTTATAGCTTGAAGTTATTCCCTAATCTCTGAGATACTTTTGCGAATAACAGAATAATAGTACCTGATTAACAGACCCTACCAGAAACGATCATTGCATAAGAAGCTTCGTCATCGACCTGAGAACATCTTGATCGCAGTACTCGCTTTTGATATTTTAATACCTGCCGGCCGACTGGTCGATAAAATCATTGAAATATTAGCGAGCGCCATAAACTAGAGGCGCCATACAAAGTCGCCCGCAATTGAGACACCAGATTTGACGACCAGCACGTCAGCGTGAACGACGTGCCGGGATAGTATTCACATTGTGAGTGGCTGTGTGGAATTTATTCGCCGCATTTGTTTACCCAGCAGACCCATCGGGGAAATTTGATTTGAACAAAGTGTACAAAGCCTGAGGACCGGGGATGCTGGTAGTTCCCGCTCCTTGGCTTCTGAGTATGCAAAGTAATTGCGGCAAATTGAATTGAACAAAGGGGGCTCGGGCACGGGAACAGACGACAAAATTGATCGCTAAACGAAGTCATGCCGTTCCAATTGAGGCAACAGCCGCGCAGCACAAACAACACCCCTGGCCACAGCCACAGCCACAGCCGGGCCCTGTCGCCGATTACTTAAAGTCCATTGGCTCATAATTAGCTCAATGCAAATAGGCAGGTCAATTGCGGTGCCCGAGTGCGGGGAGACCCGTCTCAGTGTTTGCCCAGCCTGAGCCGCCGATCGGAAAACAAATTCTATAATTTCAACAAGCGCATAAATTTGTTTGCTCGCAAATTAATAAAGCTTTGCCTCGACAATCTCTTCGCCCCACTCGCTAAGCCGCAAATAACAAATCGGACGACTCAGGAGCAGGTTGGACGTGTTCCCCCGGCGCGTTCGATAATTTCAATAAATTGTTATAATTTTTATATTTTTCCACTGACGACAGCCCTGAGCTAGTGTGCCGTGTGTGAAGATGCGCAAGAGGCGGCACATTCTTGTAAGCTTTTATTTATAAACAAATACTGCCACAGGGCGTGAGCATGGTGCGGGGCGGAAATAGAAATCCCCTTATCGAGTCGCCAGTCGAATGCCCTCCAAAACCACGTCGGAAAGACTGCTGGGGACGAGACTGCTTCGCTGATAATTGTGAATCACTCGGGAGCAGCAATCAGCCAATTTTATTTTCAAACAGAAATATGTCCCACGCGCTTCGGAAAGACGTTTACGAGCAGCAGAATCTGGAGGAGGAAAGTGAAATAAAACACATTCTTGGGATTACTTGCGCAGCTCTTGTTCCGCTTAATTGGAAGAAAGCCCACGGGGAAACACCCTAACCCGCATTGGATGGCCAAGACCAGCCGAGTGTCTGGCCCTTTGGCCACTATCGGCTGCCATAGATTTCCAGCTGTTGTCCAGGTAAGTCCCCAAGTACACGCTCCCTGATAAGAGAACACGGCCGGCAGATATGGTACAATGTTTTGTTCGAGTGCCATGGGCTTACGCGCAGATCGTGAATGGAGGCACCGGAGCGAGAACTCTGTCCAGCGGTGCAAGGTAATTAAGAATAATAAATGGAAAATCGCGCACAAATGTCAAAATAATGATGACAACAATATGAATCAGATAGAACTGCTCGCACAGTGAACTCTTTGATTCAGAAAGAGTATAGTATTTCAAAATCCCAATAGTTATATGAAAGTATTTGGAATACATCTAATCTCACACACCTACTCTGTCTTCATTAATTTGGAGTGTAAATAGTTTTAATTTTTACTAAAATTGAGATTAAAAATATAAAAAAATATTTTAACTTCAGTACCCACATCCAGCCCCAATGTTTCAAGACCTACTGTATACTTTGATGCGAACAGCGATTATTTCGTTTTTTGCAAATCAAAACACCATGAATAGAATGGAAATTATATAGAAAAAACGCCATTATTTGAGCAATATGGGAGAGGCTTATCTGGCCAGCGTTTGGCGGTCACTGTTTCGAGATCAGTTGCAGGTCGATCGCTAGACGCGGAGCACGCTCGATGTACGTCCGGATTTGTTTGCTGGCCGCTTTGGCGGCCATCGCCGCCAGCCAGGATGCTAGCAGGAAGTTCCCCAAGGAGGTGGTGCGGATTTCCAGTCTGGAGGACTACTGTCGGACCGAGGGCGAGGTAGTCCGCTGCAGTGGCTTCAACTTCGACAAGGAGGAGCAGAAGGCGACCTTCGACCTGCAAACCGAGGTGAGGATTGCCGCCGACGGCAACACCTACGAAGTTGGCGAGGAGCAGTCCGCCCGGACAATCGTCTTCGAGAACTGCACCTTCGTTAACTTCCCGCTGAGGCTGTTCTACACCCTGGAAGTCAGCGAGCTGGACATACGTGGCTGCGGCATACGCCACGTGTACTGGGAGAACTTCTCCAATGGCGCCGAGAAGCTTGTGATTCTGCTGCTCGCCGACAACGAGATCCGCGAGCTCCCCAGCAAAACCTTCAGCGGGGCCAACAACTTGCAGTTCCTGTTCCTCAACAGGAACAAGCTCAGCACGCTCCACATAGACACCTTCGAGGATCTGCATGAGCTGCAGCACCTGGACCTATCCGAAAACGAGCTGGAGGACCTGCCCCCTGACGTCTTCTCCGAGCTGAAGAACCTGCAGCGGGTGCTCCTAGCCGACAACCTCCTGACCATTATAGCCGGCGACTTGTTTGCCCACAACCCGCGACTCTTCTCCGTCACCCTGCAGCGGAACCGACTGGAGGAGCTGGAGGAGTACGCCTTCCGGCCGAAGGGCGTGGGAAAGGAGATAGCAGAGCACCAGGTGCACTCCATAGATCTGTCGCATAATCCCCAGCTGAAAGTGCTGCTGCTGAACCTGAATGTCAGCCACCTGTACGCCAGCAACTGCTCGCTGGACCGCGTCAACCTGTACGGCTCGGTGACGATCGTCGATCTGAGCTTCAATCGCATTCGAGAGCTCTACTTCCCCGCCTCGGACAAGCTGGAGCACCTCGCACTGCGCAACAACTCCCTGGAGCAGCTGGCCTCCCTCAGCCGACTGCCGAGGCTTCGCCACCTGGACGTGGCCGATAACCCGGAGCTGGGGCGCCTTCCCGAGGACTGGCAGACGCCCCAAATGGAGATGCTGGTGCTGCGCAACACGGGACAGGAGGAGCTGCCCCTCAAGGCCATTGAGGGAATGCCCAACCTGAAAAAGCTGGACGTGTCCGGAAACAAAATCACAGACCTAGATCCCTCGTCCTTTCCACTCCTCTCGCAGCTGACCCACTTCTACATTCAGAAGAACAACTGGAACTGCTTTAGCCTGAGAATGGTCTTGGACGTACTCATTCGGCCCAACGGAATCACCTACTCCGTCGACATTCACGACCCCGATTTTCCAGGGGAGTACTTCCACGGCATCGCCTGCATGTACCGCTTGGCGCAGAAGGAGTCTTTAGAGTCGAGTTCCGGGGAGAGATCACCGGAAACCTTTGAGTTCTGGGAGAAACAGAATAGTTACCAAGGCCCTTCGAGCGAAGTGGAGGAACTCCGAAGGGAATTCAAGGCAATCGTGCAGCACTTTGACCAAAAATTCGATCACCTTTTCGGCGAGCTAAGCCGCCTGAACGAGCAGATGGAGTCCATCGAGAGGCTGAACCGAACTGTCTGGGGTCAAGTCACCTTGTCGGTCTAGTCACTGGACTAGACAACCATTTAATGTTTAATTGTTGTTGATTTGAACTGGTATGGAGTTTACTTTTCAATTAAAAGTTTTCCGAGTTTCAAATGAAAGCTTATTGGATGGAAAATGCTTTTACGAACTTGGTTTGAGGGTTTCCAGCTGAGCTTGGTGGGGTTTATGTAAAAGAGTTGAGTGAATCTCAAACTCATGCAACTCCCGTCACTGGATTCCACCATATGGTATGTACTGGGTCTGTGCTTCGGGCTCACGTAACAAAATATTTACGCAAAAATATTGATTTTCTGGCGAAGCTATGTCGCCGCTCTGGTGTTCTTCCGAAAAGATACTGAAAGGGGTTCATTCAACCCAGTTGAACAAGCAAACAGGCAGTAAAGTGGGAATATCGGGCAGCCTGGGATGCTCTATGCTAAGATTTTTCTAAGTACAGTGAGTAACAAGCAATGAATTGGATTTACCTAAAAACCATCTCTATTAGTTTTCCGGTTATTATTTGGGCCTTATTCATTCGATTCGTTAGCCCACAGTATATGGCTAGCTAATTGCAAAGATAAACGAACAGTTTCGGTTTCAAGGAAGCCACTTGGAAAGAAAGGGATCCCACCGCAGCACCGAACCACTGAACCACACCCCCTGATCGCTGGGCTGGCTTCTGATGCCCAGTATACGATGTATCGTGTGCATGTGATTTTGAATATGCACCCAGATATCCGCTGTGTATAACCGCACGAATATTGAATAATATTTGTGTGTACGAAGGAATTGCAATTTCTGTTTAACGGTAATTGGCCACAACTCGTGCCGATCGGCCGCAACTGTAAATAAATAATATATCCATAGTGCCTGCTAGCTTCTAGCTTCTAGCTTCTAGCTGGGGTTTTTTCAGCACATACACCCCGACCAAAGTTCGATTTGACGAGCTGTTAACTTTTCTGGCGATCTCCTCAGAATTCTGGGAATCCAATTGACAAGTGTTTCCCTAATTAGCTCATATTGAGGAGATAGTGGCAGATTAGATATGTATATATGTATGGTTCCTGATCCTGTCACATTTGTAGAACACCACACAAATATGGTTCAAGTCTAAAATAAGTATGGAATGACTTTTATGATATCTAGTTTGTGTTTATAAAAAGATTTTATAAAAAGACCCCACGAATCACTGAAACGACCCCCTTTCGGGTGTTTTTCCAACGGCCCCTGGCAAGGGGAATTTCCCACCCACTCGAGGCCTTAGTCACAGCCAACCGAACAAAATGGAAAGCAGGGAAAATCAAACGTCACGCGCTCATATCAACACAAAAGAAATAAAGGCGGAAAATAAATCATATTAGGCAATTAAACAAAAGGGGGGACAGCAGTACGAACCTTCCAGTTAATCGGCGACTCGGTGATGTGGTTTCGAGGCAATTGCAGAGGCGATCGTTGCTGATTTCGATTTGCAATTAATTCGCTTGTTTAAAATTTAATTTAGCCTTAGCTCCGATGTGACACTCACACACTTATACACATACACTAGGGCACTCACACTGAGACACACAACAAAAGGAAAACTTGGAGTCGACACTTTTGTGTCGCTGACTTTTGTAAACAATTTCGCGATTAGGCATCTAACAGCGCTGCGCTACAATAAAATAGTAAATAATACGAAACGGACATTAATTCCTTGTTTTCGTTATATAAAGATTAGAGCGAAATTATAATAACTTTTTCGCTGGACGTGATGGGATGTTCGAACACTCGAAGGTGTTGACTTTTCAGATTAGATTATTTTATTTTCAGCACACTCATTTCACTGATGTTGCGCGCGTTGCCCAACTAATTATCAGCCATTTTGTTCAACACCAAATAAATCACAAGCACGCAGCAGCAACAACAAGAACAACAGCATCGAGACTATCCAAATGAACCGATTTTAATAAAAACAAAAGAATGCGAAAATAGCTCATGCGCGGGCTTCCACTTTGGACTCGACTTTCCAATTGGAACACGCACTGAAACCGATCGGAAAAAGCCAGAGCCGCACGCAGAGCCGCAGAGGATGTTGATTCGATTTTCAGTCTAATAGAGAACCATTACAAGAACAACGAGAAAGCCAAACGGAGCAAATACAAGTATTTGTCCGTGGAAAATTTCCAAACTATTTTTCTGTTTCTTCCAGCAGGCGACGCCATGTGTGTTTGTGTATGCGTAACAGCTGATCGCGGACTATTGATTTTTTTTTTTTTTTTTTTTGACGAACCCGACTGGAAGGTTTTTGTTTTTTACAAGACTGGCGAATAGTTAGAAATAGAGTTGACAGACACTTGCAGGAATATAGATTAAAAACCAATGGAATCTGGGCTGGGTGGGTGGTGAATATGGGTGTTGCTGTGTTTTTGTAGCCGTTGCAATTGCAATTTACTTGGGTCGTTCGCGCACAATTAAAAGCTCTGTACGCAGCTTATCACAAAATAATATTTTAAAGCACACACTCGTATCCGATTTGCAAGCTAAATCCGTATCCAGCTATTTGTTGTTGCTCTCAACGCTGTGTCGCTGGCACAATTCCACGCACCGATCGCGATAAAATGGCTGGAGGTTTTCTTTATCTCGCTTCTCGGTGGCAATCACATGCGAAAAACTTGTTAAAACGAAGAGACGGCAACAACAAAAAACCGACAAAAACAATCCGACAACCAGAGTGAGAATTAGGGTTGTCAAATTATCAATATATCGATATTTCTTGTATGAAACGATATATTTAAAACCATATGTGTTTTTTTTCTTCAATATCGGAGAAATATGATACAACATGTTGCAACCAAAGTAGGGATGTTTAAAAAGTACTTTCTTATCGAAATATCGAATAGGAAAATTAAGGTTGAAACGCATTTTCAGATATTTTTTGTTTGGCCACACTAAGACCCTCAACCACTTCTTACACTAAATTATAAAATATAAATTTATATATATATAATTATAAAATATAAATTCCTGGTGTCCATTCCCACCAGATGTTCCATAAGTTTAAGATTAAACAAGCATTTATTTTTAAAAATGTTTAAATAAAAAACTTAGTGGATTATTCACCTACTTTTCAAAACAAAATACTATCGATATAATTTTCTTCAATGCAGCCCTAGTTTTATTTGGAAACCAGTGTTGCGATATATCCCACTGAAAGGACCAGATCAACTGATTCACCCTATGCATATCATCACTAAAACTCTTTTATATGCTCTCAAAGAGCACGAGGTATAAATTCCAGGTCTCTTTTATGTTTTTATGTTTAAAACGACTAGAAATTTGATTTTTTGTATCATTCGGCGAACACACATCACTTTTTATTTTCATTAATCACCCTGTGGACTTCAAATGTTAGCGGGAAAACCATCGCACCTTTCAACACTGATTCCCTAATTCAAAATTTAAATTTGAATCGGTGGCGTCACAATTGTTTGCATTTAATTTTAATATTTAAAAACAATTTTGACAAAAAGAGACTATGTAAACAACCGATTAATCTTTTAAAAATTTAAACTTTCATTGGAAATAAATATTTACCTCCGGAAAAAAAACTAAAACTTACTTTTACTTTTGAAACGCATCAAAATGAGAATAATTTGCCTTGGCATGCTATTAATGCCATTCACATACATATTTGCCAGTACATACCAAACTCTTTTAAAACTTCAGAAATAAAATCAATAAAAATGGCGCATTGCATTGGGACCACCCTTGGAAGACGCCACCAGAAACAGCAAAAGTGGTAGGAACCGAAAAGGACTCCCTTTACCATCATCGCTCACCCGCCAACTCCGCTTTCACACGCCGACCGGATTCTATTCACTCACCTGCTCAATGTCGAAGTCCCATTCGGGGGAAGGCGAGCGAGCTGTTCGGCCTCCGGGCGGCGGAGTGCCCAGGGCGGGAGACCCGGCTTGCGGCTCTTCGGGTATCACGGCGAAGCGGCCTCGCTGCAGAATGGGAGAAATGGCGCCGTAATTAGCTGCAACAGAGGCAAGGAGAGGTCAACAATTAGCACTAGACACAACAAAAAAGTGAAAACAATTGTAGAATGTGAATTACTAAAGTTTTGCCTTAATATTAATTTAGCCGAAAATAAAATGCATTGTATACGTATTCGCGCGATATTCGAGAAGTAAAACAGTATATAGATTCAATATAAGCAAGTATAATTCTTATCAAGATCAAACATTTGTATATACAAAATATTCGAATTAAAGGTTCCTTATCGAGTAAAATAACATTTACTAATTTTTATAGTTGAATTCAAATTTTAAAATAAAAATTAATTTTTACTTAAGCACTTACATGTCGGCATCAGGCGAAATCGACCCAGCGTTGTCTCCGGCGGACCCTGCGGCGTCGACGAGGTGACACGAAAGCGACCGCGGCGGGCGGCGGCTACATCCTCGTAGTTGCCACCCCCACCCGCCCCTCCAACACTGCTGTGCATGCTGTGGCTGCTTCGACTCGCGCTTGAACACAAACTGCAATTCGAGTGGAAAAGGGGGAAAACAACAGGGTAGTTATTCAAAATCAATATAGCGGTCAGATTTGGTCGGAGAGTGTGTTTTACGAGCAAAGTGCACGCTAATTTTCATAGCTTCGAGGAAGCTTTTCTGTGCTGTGACCTGCGGAAACTCAGAATTGAAAATTTTGAAAAGTGCACCGAAAACTGCGACGAGAAAATTCTTCAAAAGGGGGCACCCAAGTCATTCAACTGCGAAAGCGACAGAGAGGAAATAACGACAACAGGCCTTCCCAGAGAAAGAGAGCAAGGTTGAATGGCTGTCTTCGCGCCACGCGACAACGCGGCGTATGTGTGATATGTTCTTTGATTGCCTTTTGACAAATTGAAACGCTGGCCAGGCATTTAAAATTTCCGTTCGCCTTTGTTATGGCTTCCTCGATTCAGCTCGTGACGCTTTTTATTAGTTTACTTGCATGACACAGATTTCTTTCACTAATTTATATATATCAAACAAAACAAATTAATTCTGCCGTCATGGCTGGGAACTTCAACGCTTATTGTACTATGTGTCACTTCATATATTTAACAATTCTTGGTTCGTTATTCTAGAGA